TCCCATCAAGCATTAGGGGAATTGCCAATAAACCCCTGGCTGCCTTCAAGAGAGAGCTGGACAGATACCTAAAGTCAGTGCCGGATCAGCCGGGCTGTGGCTCGTACGTCGGACTGCGTGCGGCCAGCAGTAACAGCCTAGTTGATCAGGCCCTGATCCATCGGGAGGCCTGGTCATGGACCGGGCCGCGGGGGCGTTGATCCCCGGAATAACCTCCAGGTAACCTCCAGGTTGGTAATTTATAACTTATCTGCAACACCTGGGTATCTTTATTGGCTAGGCGTTTTGCCTGTGCAATAGGCTTCTTCCACTGTCTCCAGTATAATAGTCGCATCTGTCATTAATTGAAAATAAGCCTGCTGAAGAGGCGAAACTTCTGGTCAGTACATAGTGATGTTTTGCATCCTAATGGCCTTTGTAATTAATATTTTTTAATATGTAAATCACACATTGTAGGCTTTGCAAGGATATAAACATTTTCATTTTCATTTTCACTTATTTAATGATACCTTTTTATGCATTGTATAAAATTTGTGGAAAATTACATTTACCTGGATGATCATTACATGCATACAAGTAAATGACAACAACGATAATTATTATTTATCAAAGTTACAGAGACAAATAGGATTTTTTTTTTTGTAGGACACCTAGACATCTGATATATCTGCCAAGTTCCTCCAATCTTTCAACTTTATCATTCCATGAATTGTATGCATTGCAATTCTTAGAAAAATGAGTACCCTTGCAGAAGAGACAATCTCTCTTTTCTTTGACTGGTTTCTTATTAACTGGGCTACTCTTAGGAGGGTACTTATTCTTCTTACCTTGTGGAGAACCATTATTTCTGATTCCTGCTATTTGATATGCACCTATGCAACTCTTTTTAGGAAATGAATTTTGATTATTAACATTGGGATAATTTTTCCTTTTGTGAAACTTGACAGATACCTCAGAGTTATTATGTGTTGCATCTTTAAAATGAATTGGTTGGCTGGTCTGCAACTGAACAATTAATTCTTGTAGACCTAGTCTTATTTCCTCCAGACCAAAATAACCTTTGTGATACTTGTTTGAGAGCCATTCAAGTGTTTTACAGCTTAATTTATTCTGTACAATGGCACTAAATAACCAGTCTGATTCCTTCAAATTATATTTATTACTTAAAGTTTTGAGAGTGCTCTCCAGTTTAACTCTAAACTGTTGTAAACCTTTGTAATTGTGATCTGGATATTTTAAATTAACAATGATATTCACTAGATCCAACCTACTTTGTTCTATATTACCATAAGTGACCTTCAACAAATCAACTGCTTCTTTGTAAGAATCATCTACATTGGGAAAGGCTTGTATGAGTATGTGAGCATCTCTTACCTGTCCTTTGAGGTAAAATAATTTAGTTACACAGGCTAGGTCACTCCTATCATGCACAGCTGCTTTAAAAATTTACCAAAACTTCTCCCAATTTTCTCCAGGATTAAATACAGGTAAACATAATTCTGGGAGTTTTGGCAAAGACATATTATTTGTTGGAGCAGATTGATTAACTGCCTTGTTTACACATTTTAATTTATTCAAGGCTTGACTTTTACAAGAATCTTTTCCTCTAATTCATAATACTGATTAATCATAATATCTACTTCAGTCTCATCTACACAGTTTACTAACAAATCTCCTTCATATTTGTTGTAATATAATTTGTATGATTCATATCTATTCCTAAAGCATCTAAATACAATTTTAAATCAGTATTCACAGTTTCTTGATTCATTAATTCCAAACATTTATTGTATGCTTTTGTTACATGCCCTTTTCTAGCTTGCAGTTTATGCTTTTTTTTGCTCTATATCATATGTTTGTTTTTCTCTATTAATTACCTCATTTTCAGCATGATGCATATGTAAAATTATTCAACTTACTTTAATAAACTAGCTACATTATGTACAATTATGCATTCATGAAAAGTATAATATAAATTTAAATACACTTTAATAATTTAGCTACACTTGAGCTTAGTAATTACACATGTAAGAAAATTATAATATAAATTTTTAAATACACATTAAATAACCTTAGCTCACTTGGCTTAGTAATTCAGCATGTTTAAAGAAATTTAATTATACAAATTTATAATACACATTAATATAAACTTTTAGCCCATCACCCTTTGGCTTTTATATAATATTAAGTAATTAATTCACAATTATAATCCACTAACACATTAAGAAAAAAATTTGTGGAAACTAACATTCACTGATGTCATTTCATAAATAAATTAAATAAGTAATTATATTTACAAATTAAGACACAAATTTTGGTTTTTATAGGACACCTAGGTGAAAATTTTGATACAATTACAATTACTCTGGATATATTAATCATAAATACAAGTAATAATGGTAAAAATTATAATTTTTATTATTTTATAAAATTACAAAACACAAATAGGAATTTTTTAGGACACCTAGGTCGCAAAATGTCCCCCTTTGATACTACCATTATCTCTCCACAAGTTGCTCTAGACCTTATTAATTGCAAATGGGAAAAGTACATACCATGAATTCTGGTAAAATTATTATAATTTTTGTGGACTGTATATTAAAATTAATAAATGATTACATATACACATTTATATAACAGAAGGAGAATTTATAATCATAGCACTCACCAATTAGTCTGGAGATTACTGTGTATAATACTCAAAAACCTCCCTCTAACTAAATTTTTGATGATAATACTGGCCAGAATTACAAACATAATTTAGATAGTTTATCTGAGGTTCCTGGAGCTGTCCTGTACATCGATTTAATGCTCAACTTATGCAGAAATGCACATCCAATAATTTCGGCTCCTATTTGTGAGGTGTAAGCCCAATATAACCTCTAGAGCGACGAAAATTATACACCTTATTTTCACTAACGTTTTCTTGGCTCATTCAAAAACATGGCGACTCTCCCTGCTTCCCATTTTTTATAATATAATTTTTATTAAATACAATATATTTTATTAATTTACATACAAATACACTATTTTCGGAAAATATACTGTATATTTTCCACAATATTATTGGTAACAATATTGGTGTTTAGTTCCTTTGACCCATTTTATAACTAACTCTTTTGGCTACTGCTTGTAGGATGAGCAGTGTAGTGCATAAATGGTGAGATGATTGATTTTGATTTTGGTTAGTAAATACACGTATTTAATATAAATAACCTGCATCTCATTCACAAACCGTAGAGGTATACAGCGGTCATAAATGAATAAGTAGGTAGGTAGACCTTAATGACGACTCGAGCAAAAAAATTACATGCTTGTCTGTTGGGTAGTCATTAAAAACTATTATAAAGCTAGGAATAAATCGAGTGTAGGATCAGAGATGTATGATACGATTTTTGTAACACGTCATTATATTATCTGTTTCAGATTTCTTCGTGAAATAAAATGAAAAAATTTGGTTGTTTCATTTTCTGTTTTTTAATATCTTTAATAATATACATTTCTAGTATTTATGTGTTTTTCTATTTTATTTTATTACAATGTTGGGCGTGTAATCTGAAAAACATTTCCCTTCTGGTACAGTGCTACATCATGTGAAAGTTTCCTCAGAGTACAGTACATTCTCGAGAAAGTTAACAAAGATGAAATCGACGCCCCATTACTCAGAGCAGAACTAATTTACCTTTAGTGTTGAACATCTGGCTGGTCGCTGGGTAATCGGGAACGTTTGCCAAGTATTGAAGTTTGTGGTCTATAGAGAGTGTGTGGGAGGTGGTTAGCGCCGCCTGGTGCTGCCGCCAGCTTCTTACTTGTGATTTATGACGTGATACACAGGTCGACGCGTCCTTGTCATTAAGTTTGTGCTGCTCACTGCTGGGAAAACATCCCAGGTTTTCCACGCTCACAGCATATGGCATGTACTACGAGGAATAAGCTACATGCAGAGACTTAATTAACTTAACCAAACAGCAGATGTAAAGAGGAGGACCAAGAGGGTATACGATACTAAATAGATTGCAGGTAAATATACGTATGGCAAAGGAACGTTTGAGATTACTTTATGGTCTCAGCAACAACTCGGCGGCCCACAGGTTGGGAACCTATGACATTATAAAGTGGTCGTGGAGGCAAATACCATTCACAATTTCAAAGAGTAGGAACTGAATGACTGAGAGGGACCAGAATAAAGGAACATGTATTGAAGCTGATAAGTCAGGTATGCCACAGAGACGTTAAGAAAGACTTCCTGTAAAAGAGTAGTGAAGAATAAGTGGAATGAAGAGAATTAAGAGACGGAACAAGGAGCTGAAGCTGGATCTCCCATAGGTACTGTCTGGCAAGTGCGCGCGGCACACACACACACACACACACACACACACACACACACACACACACACACACACACACACACACACACACACACACACACACATACACACATACACAAAACACACACACACACACACACACACACACACACACACACACACACACACACACACACACACACACACACACACAACACACATACACACATACATACACACACACACACACACACACACACACACACACACACACACACACACACACACACACACACACACATATTTATTTAAACACACATAAAGGATGTGTCATGTATTCTATGTTTTAAGTTTCCTTGTTCGAAGAGGAAACGTTTATATTCATAATTTTTAATTGTAGTGGTCTTCGTACTAAGTTATTTTGATGTGTGTATAGATTGTGTACAAACTATGTATAGATTGTTTATATATTATGTATATAAAGATTATAGTGTAGATTACTTAGTGTAACCAGGTAACCTCCATGTAGTTGATGTATTTACCCAGAAAAATGAAAGCTTTAATATATGCTTTTGCTTCTTTAAGAAACCAAATGCTTGCTGAGTTTGTTTTAGAGCGCTAGGAGTTAGTACATCAGTAGATGTAGATGCTGTAGTTAACGCTGTAGTGCTAATGTAGACTTGTTTGTTGCAGCTCCACTCGCTCCTCCCGGGGTCTGGTCGACGGGGGCATTACCACCACCACCTCAGACACACTCGTCACCCACCAGATCGACCCTCCCAGACCGCCCTCCCTTCCCCCACCCACTAACGATGACCCGCCCCCACGACCACCCGAACGCCCGCCCAAGAAGCCTACTTTGCGATCTCTGTTCCACGGCCCCAACGCCGAGGCGGCGAGCAACCCGCCCTCTGCTGCTCTCACCGCCTCTCCCCAAGGGGAGAACGCCCCCGACGCAGAGATAAGACGGTTAGAGGAGTCTACTGAGATAAGATCTCCAGCACGACCGTATTACTACCGCAAGCCACCCGCACCAGATCCTCCCAAATCTCCCGAAGCGTCGCCCACACCACCCGCGGCTCTTACGACTCTCACGCCAGGCTGTCAAAGACTCCAGCGGTCTCCCTGCGACACACGACTCCATACGTCGCCCACCCATCTCGCCAACCATGCCGCCCACTTAGTTCCACCCACCAGCCCCACCTCCCGCTCCTCCACCCCGGACTTGCCCCCACCTCCGCCCCCTCCCGTCGTAGAGGGTGAGGTTGTGTTGAGTGATGAACCGCTGCCTCCCCCACCCACGCCCTCTGAGGTATCTCCCACACCCACAGAGGCGCCGCCCCTTCCCCCAGACTCGCCACCACGAGAACGTCTGATAGGTACGCCCCCTCCAGTACCCCGGGACGCCCTCAAGAACCTCAGCACCCCACAGTAAGTACATCCATATTCTATAAGTATATATGTACTCGCATCTCTGACATTGTGTGACACGTCAGTCTTATTTCCTCTATATAATTTGTACGTGTGTGTGTGTGTGTGTGTGTGTGTGTGTGTGTGTGTGTGCCGAATAGGTAAAATTGGTCAGTTAGCAAGAACTCGTTTAAAATTAAATCCTTTCTAAAATTTTCTCTTATACGTTTAAAGATATAGTACTTTTTCATTTATGTTAATGTAAAAATTAATAATTTTTTACCAGAAGAACCTTAGAAAACTTACCTGACCTTATTATAACAAGCGCAATTTAATTTATTCTAATCCAACTAAATATATTTTAAATAAGTTTACAATAATTTAATAAATAAACACAATGAAATATATTTTTTCCTTAGATTCAGAAAGATTTTTGTGAAATTATTGCATACACAAATTTTTCGCTTGCCTCGGCAAGACGAGCGTTGCTATTTAAACCAATGTCGCAAATTTTACCCATTTGGCATTGCATGCACGCGCGCGCACACGTGCACATGCGCGCACACACACACACACACACACACACACACACACACACACACACACACACACACACACACACACACACACACACACACACACATCACTAAGGTAATAAGCTTAGCTCACTTGCGATAAGATGCGAAAGGTTACGAATTTATCTCTTAAAATATTGTACTGCTTATCAGTGTTTCAGCGAAAATTCGGTCCTCATCATCATCAGGATTTTATGTTTTGAAAACAAATATCTGAATTTTGCTTTTCATACACAACTAGGCGAGTACAAGAAATAAACGTTCTGTTGTGAACATCACATATCGCGTGAGGCGAATGTCAACTTAAATGTCGTCAGCGTGTGTGAGGGTGGAAAACCTTTGGAGAATTTACAGAAAATTTAACATGAAATGTTATGGGACGTTATACAGGATTTATACCGGTATGGAGTGTCCGCCTGAAAACATGTTCAGGAGAGTGAAAATGTCCAAAGACTTCTAACTAGACCTATTCCCGAAACTGTAAGAAATGTACTGCGAGGAAAGACTAAAATTATTGAACATAACATCCCTGGAAGACAGAAGAACTAAGGAAGACTTGGTTACCATGTAGTGTCTGAGAAATGGACTCGGCAAATAGGGACGGACTGAAGTGAAAAGACCAGGGACTGCCATATGAATGTCTTAGAGCAGTAGGTAAGTTAAATGGTCTAAATTCAGTAGTGGCAGAGACGAACGCCAAAGAGTTTCGAGGACAGGCATCAGTAATTGTAGTCAGTATAGCTCAAGAGGCTGAGTCATGCACTGTGACATGATCCCTGCAAACATAAAATACTTTGAAACATAGACAGAGTATAGAAGGATAGATTCTATCATGGGAGGAGCCTACATGCCTGGAGTCTACCTGGAGTGTATTCCGGGGATCAACGCCCCCGCGGCCCGGTTCATGACCAGGCCTCCCGGTGGATCAGGGCCTGTTCAACTAGGCTGTTATTGCTAGCCGAGTGTAGTCCAACGTACGAACCACAGCCCGGCTGATCCGGCACTGACTAGGTATTTGTCCGGCTCCCTCTTGAAGACAGCCAGGGGTCTACTGGTAATTCCCCTTATGGCTGGTGGGAGGCTGTTGAACAGTCTTGGGCCTCGGACACTTATTGCGTTTTCTCTTAGTGTACTAATGGTGCCCCTACTTTTCATTAGGGGTATGTTGCGCCACCTGCCAAGTCTTTTGCTTTCGTAGGTAGTGATTTCTGTGTGCAGATTAGAGCCAGAACCATAAGACACGGACGCTGAGCATGTAGATGCGTGTTCCTCACTGGATGTGATGTTTCCGTTCGTAAGTACCGCTCGGAAAGTGAGTGTGTGTTCGTAAGTAATTGGCTCAAAAATGGCCTGATCGTAAATGAAGATGAGCCATGTTATAAAATAATTTTAGTGAGCGTAATATGGGAACAATATAGAAGATGAATTCGTGTAATGTGTAATACAAAGAGGTGGCCAAGAAGGTGGGGCGTAACATACTCAAACTCCCAAAATTTAACACAAGTACGGGTTTAAACTTGAAAAATTCTGTCCAGCAGACATGTCGGACTTCGTAATAATGCGATTGTAAACAAACCAAGGAACGGGTGGGGTTTGAACTCATACCTTACTCACTGGCCTGGAGCTTTAGGATTCACTTACCATGGGTTCGAAACCCACCCGTTCCGTGTTTTTTCTTTATACCGGAGTTCTGTGACTGTAAAATTCTGACTTACAGTATGACTGTTCAGAGATAAGGCCACGATTATTGGAGGGGGATAGAGCCTCCACGACTCATTGCGGTGAGTGACTCGCATAGGTTTAATGCTTCTTGAAATACAGTATAACGCAATTCGGCTGGGTAATAGATACCTGGATTATACCTGGAGTGTGTTCCAGGGGTCAATGCCCCCGCGGCCCGGTCCATGACCAGGCCTGGCGGTGGACCAAGGCCTGATCAACCAGGCTGTTACTGCTGGCCGCACGCAAACCGACGTACGAGCCACAGCCCGGCTAGTGGCTACTTTGAAGGATATTGAGCAGGGAAAAAGAGGGTATACTGCATGTTTCTGGAGTGTTGAAGGCATTAGTCACGTTCCCCACTGAAGACTGTTCACAAACTGGAAGAGTAAGCAGGGATAACGGGAAATGTACTTTGCTGGATCAAGGAATATTTTGAGCGGAACTAGAGTTACCTGGAGGTTATTCCGGGGATCAACGCCCCCGCGGCCCGGTCCATGACCAGGCCTCCCGATGGATCAGGGCCTGATCAACTAGGCTGTTACTGCTGGCCGCACGCAGTCCGACGTACGAGCCACAGCCCGGCTGATCCGGCACTGACTTTAGGTATCTGTCCAGCTCTCTCTTGAAGGCAGCCAGGGGTTTATTGGCAATTCCCCTAATGCTTGATGGGAGGCTGTTGAACAGTTTTGGGCCCCGGACACTTATGGTGTTTTCTCTTAGTGTACCAATGGCGCCCCTACTTTTTATTGGCGGCATTTTGCATCGCCTGCCCAGTCTTTTACTTTCGTAGGGAGTGATTTCTGTGTGCAGATTTGGGACCATTCCTTCAAGATTTTCCAAGTGTAGATTATGATATATCTCTCCCTCCTGCGTTCCAACGAGTACAAGTCAAGTGCTTCCAAGCGTTCCCAGTAGTTAGTGAGTTATGCTCCGGGAAGCGGTATGGGAGTGACGAGTGACGAGGATATAAAAATATTTCTTTTTTATGAAAAATTGCCAACCACATCAGCACAACTTGTACAGCCAATTATCAAGCATTTGAGAATAAGTATGTTTACCGTATGTTTAATCTCAAACATGAAAACACACACACACACACACACACACACACACAGTAAAGAGGCGGGGCCAGGAGCTCGCCTAGGTGTACTCAACTAGGTGAGTACAAGTAGGTAAAACTTGCAATTTTGGCTTAAATAGCAACGCTGTTCTTGCCGAATAAGACAAGCAAAAATTTGTGTATGCAATAATTTCGCAAAAATCATTCTGACCCTAACGAAAAAAAATATATTTCATTGTGTTTGTTTATTATTAAATTGTTGTAAACTTATGTAAAATATATTTAGTTGGATTAGGCTAAATTAAATTGAGCTTGTTATAATAAGGTCAGGTAAGTTTTCTAAGGTTCTTCTGGTACAAAATTATTAATTTTTACATTAACATAAATGAAAACATATATCTTTAAACGAATAAGGGAAAATTTTAGAAAGTACTTAATTTTAAATGAGTTTTGCTAATTGGCCAATTTTACCTATTCGGCAATATATATATATATAATATATATATATATATATATATATATATATATAATATATATATATATATATATAATATATGCATGCTTGCATTGTTCAAATCTCTAGTAAGGCTGATGCATGCAGGGGATGAGATGAAAAACTGTCAGCCTTCTCCCTGAAAGCTGGCTGCCTTGGATCAAACGTGTAGCGCATGCTACACGCCAAGGTATTGGTCCAGTGTGGGTAGATTGGTAAAGCACTGCGTACCTTGTCCTAAGGTTCGTAGGTTCGAGTCTCCTTCAGCCAGAGATCAGTGTTTGTGTATATTTCGCCTGCTCTCGCAAATTCCTTGCATTGTTCAAATCTCTAGTAAGGCTGATGCATGCAGGGGATGAGATGAAAAGCTGTAAGCCTTCTCTCTGAAAGCTGGCTGCCTTGGATCAAACGTGTAGCGCATGCTACACGCCAAGGTATTGGTCCAGTGTGGGTAGATTGGTAAAGCACTGCGTACCTTGTCCTAAGGTTCGTAGGTTCGAGTCTCCTTCAGCCAGAGATCAGTGTTTGTGTATATTTCGCCTGCTCTCGCGAATTCCTTGCATTGTTCAAATCTCTAGTAAGGCTGATGCATGCAGGGGATGAGATAAAAAGCTGTAAGCCTTCTCTCTGAAAGCTGGCTGCCTTGGATCAAACGTGTAGCGCATGCTACACGCCAAGGTATTGGTCCAGTGTGGGTAGATTGGTAAAGCACTGCGTACCTTGTCCTAAGGTTCGTAGGTTCGAGTCTCCTTCAGCCAGAGATCAGTGTTTGTGTATATTTCGCCTGCTCTCGCGAATTCCTTGTGTATATATATATATATATATATATATATATATATATATATATATATATATATATATTGTACCCACAGAACAAGTGGTATTGATCAATAACAACACTGCACTAGCCAAGGAGTCGAACCCATGCTGTTTTGGCCAGCCTAATGGTGAGAGAAAACGCATGACGCTTTAGACCACCACTAGACCACACACACACACACACACACACACACACACACACACACACGACATGACGGAAGGAATAGACTCTGAGGTGTCCCTGTTTGCAGATGACGTGAAGTTGATGAGAAGAATTCACTCGATCGAAGACCAGGCAGAACTACAAAGGGATCTGGACAGGCTGCAGACCTGGTCCAGCAATTGGCTCCTG